CCCTGCACCTGATCCTGTCTTCTCCTCAGTCTGACATTCTCCGCAGACGGTCCCTACCTTCTGCCCCAGACTTTGTTGCAGAACCTCCTGGGAGCCTCACATACTCCATGATATTCCCAGGGCAGGTTTTGGTCCTCACCTCTGGGACCTCATACTCCGCTCCACTGTCATGTGGCAAACTTCTTTTCATTTTCGACTCGCACATGTCCTCATATAGTTGCTGTTGCAACTATGATTAGAACAAAGTACATCCTTGAGCAGGGGGTGGTTGGGTAATGTCCATTGCCACAGATCAAATGTCCTCTGGCAGTGGGGAGCTACCTGGGCAGGGCCTGCAGGTTTTCCTGGGGAATGTTTTGTTCACATTTTTAAAGTTTGCTATATTTTTGGGCCCCAGCAGTGCTGGTGTGCCCATGGAATCATTTGATGAAGACTTCAGTGTGTGAGGTCATGAATGAGGCACAATTTGGGCCATTGGCAAGTTTGGGATAGGACAGGGCATAGGTTTGGTATCAACCATAGCTGTGTGTCCTGGTTCATCATGCAGCCTTGTCCCCTCTCCATGTTCCCTCTCTGCTCCTTGCGACAGAGCTAGGTGTTCAGACTGGGGAGATAATCCTAGAGGAGGGTGTGAGTCAGTGTCTGGAGGAGGAGTGAGGGGTGGCCTCAGCATCTTGGTCCTCACATGATTATCCAGAGCCCAGGACTGTCAGTGGAGGTGTGAGCTTTTACTTTTTTTTTTTGACACAGAGCCTCTAGCTGTCACTCTGGGTAGAGTGAAGTGGCATCACAGCTCACAGCAACCTCTAACTCCTGGGCTCAAGTGATTCTCCTGCCTCAACCTCCCAAGTAGCTGGGACTACAGGCGCCCACCACAACGCCTGGCTATTTTTTCGTTGCAGTTGTCACTGTTGTTTGGCGGGCCTGGGCTGGATTTAAACCCGGTAGCTCAGGTGTATGTGGCTGGTGCCTTAGCCGCTTGAGCCACAGGCACGGGGCCACTTTTACTTTGTAAAAGCTGAGTCCTGCGGAGTCTGAGTGGCTCCATGGAGGCTGAGACACAGCCCTTGTTTTCACCTATGTGCCAGCTTCATGAGGTACTGTGAAGGCAGAGAACTGTCCTGTCCATGCTGGGTGCCTTGCCCTTGGCCAGAAGGCAGCCCTGGTTAGGGTATAGAGTTCAGCCTGTGGGGTGAACTTCACCCAGGACCAGACTGTGTCACATCATGAAGAGAAGTGACAGTGTGCCCTGTCTGGTGGCAGCTTGTGGGGTCCCTGAAATGGGACCTGTTAGGAACCTGTCATAGTCTGGACAGGACGTGAGTCTCACGGAGTCCTCTTGAGGCATTGGGAGTGGGACTGTGAGACCCCCCCCACACACAATCATGGTCATCACTGGGGACAGAAAGTGAGGCCTCTGGGGTGAAGATACTGCAGGAAGTTGGGGTGAGGAGGGAGGGGAAAGAGTAAGGAGCTCACAGTGGGTGAGGCGGCTGTCAGAGAGGCCTGAGTGAGGGGGGCTGAGAAGGGCTCCAGCCGATGAGGGGCACACCCTGTGAGTGGAGATCCTAAAGCTGGGTTTCACCACCTCTCCTGGAGTGTAGATGGCTTATCTGCACATGCGCAGAGGAAGTTCTGGGCTGCTGGATGGCGCTGTTGACTCCATTAGCCAGTGGAGAGTGGTGTCCACCGTGGCCCTGAGTGAGGATGCCAAGGCCAGTGTCTTCTCTGTCATGAGCAAGAAAAAGGGCAAATTGTAGTTGGGGTGGTCTAGAATAGGAGCCAGGGAGGGTTGGTGTTTGATTTCCTCAAAGAAGTATTGAGTTTTGGAAGTGCAATAAATAGTGGCATCTGGGTTAGATTCTATAAGAAGTTTATAAAGTGGTTGATCAAGCAGGAAAAAAAAAAAGGGAGCCAGGCATGGCAGTGGGCTGGAAGTGCCAAGAACTTACATAATCGGTGGCGCCTGTAGCACAGTGGTTACTGTGCTGGCCACATACACCAATGCTGGCAGGTCCCAACCCAGCCTGGGCCAGCTAAAACAACAATGACAATTGCAACAACAGAAAAATAGTCGGGCTTTGTGGTGGGCACCTGTAGTCCCAAGTACTCGGGAGGCTAAGGAAAGAGAATCACTTAAACCCAAGAGTTTGAGGTTTCCATGAGTTTTGACGCCATGGCAATCTACCCAGGGTGACAGCTTGAGATTCTGTCTCAAAGAAAAAAAAAAGAAGTTAAGTAATCATCTCTTCATTGCGGGAATGGGAAAAGTTAAAATGCCTTGGATTCACTTAGGGTCCAGACTCAGACTGTGGGGGGTGTTAAGAGGTGACCGAGGCACTTCACAGAGGTTGCACAGACTTGGATCTTTTGTTTGGAGACCTGGTGTCCCCTGGAAGCCAACGTGTTAAGGAGGTGAAGGGTGTTTGGAAACAAACATCCTCTGGAGGGGGCACCCTTATCCTACAGCAAGGCGGACCCAGTAGGGGACATAGTGTTAGCCAAGTCTGCTTTGATAACTGAGGAGAAGCAGGTGGAACTCTCAGGATATCCTGAGGGGCCGTGCAGGGGTGTTGTTGGGTGC